TTTATTCTTGGAAATTCTTTCCCAGGATATACCACAAAGAACAGGAGAATGGTGGGATGGGCGGGAAGGTGAGATTGATAGACTGAAGCAGCTGCCAGAGGTGCCTGATATGCTGACGTCTGTTCTCAACCTTACACTGCACCTGTAATTCAGCCTCTGGGCTGCAAGTGGTCAGATATAAACTATATTCAAAAGGTCATTTTCCAGAGTCCTCATTGATAAAGTTTGGTCCACTTGTTTGTTTCACTAAAATATTTCTCTGTTGACTGTGTTTGACAGCAGAATACTTCATACTTATTTATGGCCTGTTTTTGAAGTTATAATATCAGTGATCTGTTTTTTTTTTAATTTGTTTTGTTAGTTTTTTAAAACATGTTTTTGCTACAACTAGGCTGATCTGAACAAAGAGAGAGTTGTTAGCAGGGAACAAGGGGAAAAACTTGCCAAGGTCTGTTATCTTATAAATCTGTACTAACTCTTAATTTACTCATGCACACAGTCTTCTACAGCTATAGTAACAATGTTAACTGTTTTGAAAGGGTTATAAATTTTCAATAAGATTAACACAGTGATAAAGGTCTGTTATGAGGTAAAGATTAAAGATAGAAACAATTCCCAGTTTTGGTGGAAGAAGGGAATCTCATAATTAAAAGAAAACTATCAGGCATCAATTTAATTAGATCACTTCCTTACTAAATTTTAATGTAACCCTCAAATGAGCCATATTGGGTTTAATTGTTTAATTTGTAAGGCCAAGGCATAGTATAGTTAATTATAGAAATAAGTACACTAAGTTATTTTCATCATTTCTCATTAATATAATTATAATTGTTTCCTACCATTACACAGGATCATAATGTAGCATTTATGGAAACAAGTGCTAAGAGTGGACTGAATGTTGACTTGGCATTCATGGCTGTCGCCAGGTAAGGCAGTCAAAAAGAGTAGATGTTTTTTGTGTACAATTATTATTTGCTTGACAGATGTGAGCCTTAATATAAGCATTGGTGTAAGCAAAATTGGGGGCAGGGGAAAAAATTGTCATTGAATATGTAAGGAAGTACATTATGATTTCTCTGTAGGGACATAAAACACAGAAATCTGAAGAGGGCATCAGAACCAAAGTTCAACATTGAGCAGTATGTAGAATCACAAAGAGAGAAACCTGGTTGCTGTTCTTGACACTAGTAGCAACAAAGATCTTCGGTTAAAAAGTTGAATCAAATCCAATGAAAAGAAACTAGGGAATAAAGAGATTTTTTTTCTGGAGTTGCCCAACATTTCTTACTTATCTTTGAAATCATAGTTAAGTAACAATTTATAGAATGACTAAATGATAAAAAGTGAATATGGGGGTAGCACCAAATGTTAGCATTTCTGGAATTACAGGAAGGGGAATGGCACTGTAATTGGGGTTGTATATGCCAGGAAGGCCTTATAGCATTCTTCATTTGACCTTTCAGTACTTATAACTGAAGTCTGTTATAATGTTAATAGTATTGGAAAAACTGAGTAACTTCTGAAGAGTTTTCTTCCTATTTATTGGTAGTTGTTAATTTTATTTACTACAGATGGAACTATCCTTTAAGTGGTAAAATAAGTACTGGGCTAGAGTAGTAAAAGTAGGGAAATATTTTCACTGTCCATAGTGTCAAATGGCTTGAGGTAACAGCACAACTAAGTTATGTGTAACTTTCTTATTTATAATGGTTCCTGAATTTTTGTGAACATTTCAACAAAAGTGATGTTGAATGAGAAATTCCACCCATGTGAGACAATTGAAGTGAATGTAGATCATGTTGGAACATTTGGTAAATGCTTTTAAAGATGTATAACTTTATAAAATTGAGAGATGTTTATGGGTTTATAGTTGTAGGTGATAAATGTCACCCCCCCGTACTCTTGGTGAGAATCTGTTCATGTATTTCACAGGCCTTGGGGTTTTCAAAACCAAAATTTAAACATTGTCTCTCTTAATTACCTGTAAGGACTGTCAAATCAGAAAACAGAAGAGTCCTTATTCAAATATATCTTAGCTACAATGCAGGATGGTATTTAAAGAATTATCACTCACCCCC